CGTGTCCCCCCGCCGCCGCCGCGAGGCCCGCGCGGTGTGGACGGCCGCCGGCCCGGCCCGGCCCGGCCCTGCTGCGGGTCCTCCCCCCGCCCCCACGGCCGCCACGCGCCCCAAGGTGTGAGGCGTTGCCCGGCCGTCCCACAGGGGCTGTGTCCATGTGGTAAAGAGCAGGAGGACGGACAACGCAGGTGTTTAAAAATCTTGACTGTGAAACACAGTAGGGGTGGAAGTGCGGAACTTGCTCGTCACCACCACCTCAGGCCCGGATTTTCTCAGAAGCCTGTCCAGGCGCCCACGCCAGCACAGCCTCCCCCTCTGAAAGCCGGGTGGCGCCTCAGGCCCCACGCCCCAAGGGGCGGCAGGCTGCCCCTCCGCCCTGGGTGCAGAGCTGGCACCTGGGGGATGGAGCGCTTCTCGAGCGGCTGCTGCGGGCTGTCACTTCGCAGGCAGGGAAGAGAAGGACGGCCATCTTCCTCGGTCCCTAGCTAGCATCTGGGAAGGGACGGGATGAGGAGAGAGAGGCGGACACAAGGGTCAGCCCCAAGCCCAGTGTTCTTCCCACACCCTCCTGAAGTTTCCAGTTCAGGGACTAGGCCCGTGGGGAAAGCTGCCAGGAGAGGGGCAACGAAAGGCCAGAGGGCACGTGTTCCTCCGCGGGGGCCACAGGAGCTACACTAAGTGTGTGCTGTGTGCGACTGTGCTTGGCCATGCCCGGGGCAGGGCCGGCGAGCTGCTCAGTGCAACACGCTGACCATGCGCAGTGGGGCTTAAGTGAGTCCGTGAAAACGTGGCGGGCATAGAAGTGTCTTAGAAAGCTTTACTAGGTCTCCTGCACAGGTGGAGATGGCAAGACTTGAGATGCCATGGGATCAGGTTCAAGGTCCCCAGGAAGGCGCTGGTGGAAACAGAAACAGAAGCTTGGCTCTCCCAGGGCCTGGTGGAGCCTAAGGGCCTAGCAGCTCCTGAGGCTTCTGCCCGGCCCAGGCTGCCTCCCGTCTCCCATGGCTCAGGGAAAGCCTTTTTCTTGGCCACTAAGTTTCCTGTGACTCAAGGCAATAGGATTTCCCCTGACCAAACAGCAAGGGCTCTGGAACCCATCACAGCTCTACCACGGGCGAAGCAGGCCCTGTGGTGTGGGGAGCGCAGGTCAAGCCACGGAGCAGAGAACCGGCTGCCTCTTTAGCATTGTTTCTTTGCAAAAATGTGGCCTGATATCGGAAGACTGACTTGGGAGCCCAAAGTCGTTAGTAAGTTGGGGAATGCCTGTCACATGAGAGTGGAGGGGCATCAACTTACACGTAAGTAAGTCTCTCAGGGGCTCTGAGATTCTCAAACGACTCAGCCACCCAGGTAGGGAGAACAGACACCCCCCAGAGGCACCCAGGACACCTCGGCCAGAAGTAAACACTGCCCATGCGCAGGGGACCTCACTCGCAGTGCTGAACAGTCCGCACAACTGTGCTGCTGGCCCTGGTCCACACTTTACTGGCCGCTAAGATGCTGGCAGCATTAGAGGAACCGGAAGGAAAACCTTTAAGGTATCTGAGGTAAGTCCTAAATTCTCGGCAGTGCAGAGTGGTCAGAACCTGGATGTTCTGCTGGTGACGGAGGTGGAACCCCCTCCATCTTGACCCAGGACCCGCCACCAGGGCAGAAAGACATTGCTCCAGGGCTTTCACCGAGCATCTCTAGAAGGCCTGGAGGGACCTGAGATGACTGCTGAGCAGGCTCCGTTACAGCACACCTGCAGGCGGCGCTCCTCCCACTGCACCTGTGCCAGTGGCACCCCTGGAGTTGGATGGTACACAGCTGGCGAGGGCGTGGCGAGCCTGTCTATGAACTCTGCAAAGGTTTAGCATGAATTTTCCTGGGGAGACAGGTCGACTTCAGCCTCTATCAAATAGTCCACAGGGGCCACTAATGTAAAAAAAATTCAAGAAACACTGTCTACTGGGGCTTGGAACTGTAACACTGCCAGAAGGGGTGTCCATCTCGTCCCTTCCCCAACCCAGTCATCCCCCCGGGTCAGTGACAGGAGGGCCCAGCTCGGTCAGGGCTGAAATCCCAATACTCAGTGGAAGAACGAGACAGAAACTCTTGCTGAGGCCGAGGCCTGGGCCAGAGGCAACAAGCTTAGATTGCACCTTGAGAGGATTTCTGTTGGTGAGCGCTGTGCTGTCCAGAAGAGATCTTCTTTGGGAGTCTAGCCCCTGCGGATCCCGAGCCAGATTAAAAGCCGGTCTAGAAAGGTTATAGCCCGAGACAGCCAACCATCGCTGGAAAATGGAGGAGACAGCCAGAGTTGTATTTACAACTCTAGAACCTGTCTTAGGGAGTTACTGCGTATGGCAAGGACTAGTTTAACATGGCAGCTGGAGAAAAGGCCCCAAGGTCCATGCTCTAAACTCCTTGTTAACTGCAAGGCAAATCTGGCGTTGGTCAGAGCAGAATCACCCTGAACCAGTGATCCAGGGTGGCCACAAGCCACCCCCAACCCGGTCCTGTCCTGCCCAACAGTGCTCTGTGAACACTCCACTGCTACTTAAGGATATGCCAATCCCTGGCCTGCCTACAGTGCCTCGGTGTGTCGTCCAGCTGTCACAAGAGACCCCTCACTCTGAGGGTTAGAGACAACAGGCATGGTATTCTCTCCATGGCTTCACTGTAGGGGACAAGCCAGGGCCAGGCGGAAAGGCAGCTCGCTCACCCACTCATGACTACTCAGGACCTTGTTCCCAGGGGTGAGCACACTGCTGCTCTCTCTCTAAGTGAAACCTTTCCTCTGGCCCCTTCCTCTGCCCGCTGGGGCTTGGGCCAGGGCAGAACAAGGCAGGACAACAATATTCACTTTAGCAGGGTCCCAGAGCAGCCGTCGCCGCCTCCATGACACTGCTCAGTGAAGCTGATCAGTGGTTCCCAACTGGGGGCAGCACTGCCTCCTGAAGGAGGTTGAAAATGCATGGGGGTGTCTGGATCAGCCAATGGTTGGGAACAAGACTGGCAGTTGGTAGGTGGGGGATGCCAGGGATGCCAGACCGGCTGCATTTTCCAGAGTCCTACGCAAGGAAGAATCATCCGGCCCGAAAAGTCATCTTGTTTTAAGTAGGGAAGCACACCCATGATGAGAAGAAACTACTGTCTTTCTCCAATAAAACAGTGCACAAGGCATATGACCGCTTCCACTCTTTCTTTTCCCACCCAAAGCCTCTCCCCATTTAAAAATATGATATTTGGCCATTAGAAGAAGCCGAGGGGCCAAGGCCAGTGCCCTGGTGGTAGCCAGCCCATGTAGGGGCTGGCCCTGCCCGGCGGGAGGCCTCCTTACCTGGGCATTTCAGTGTGGATGGAGCACCCGTCATCCAGAAGCATGTCAAAGCCATGCAGACTTGCTAGCAAAGAGACGAGACACAGTTAAGAGACAGGCAGGTGTTCAGACATGCTGCAGGAGTGGAAGCATCTTCATTCCCACGTGCTGGGCCAGCATCCTCAGTGAAGGAGCTGGGGTGTCAGGAGGAACTGGGAACCGTTTGCCTAAAGGGTCCATTTGCTCCCCCCAAAAATCTGAGAAAAATGGTGAGACTATAACATAGGGACATAGTGCGCCACCACTTAGAAGACAAATGCCCCACATCTGAATAATGGGGCAGCTGAAAGAGGACTACACATAGCAGGGAGCAACACTGACCCACGCCCCAGGGCACTGGGGCCAGTGTCCTGCTATCAGTTAACCAGCTCCACACTGTCAGTCAGCTGCTCATGGGGGAGGGAGAGAGCACATGGTCACTGTCCTTTCAGAGAGCGAGAAGACAGTATTTTTACTTTTCTATTAAACATCTATGGCTCTTAGTATGTGCCAGGGGCTTGTTCTAAGTAATTAACAAATATTAACTCATTTAATCCTCATACAACCACATTAGATATTGTCATTCTGGCCCAAATCAAACAGCTAATAAGTGGCAGAGCAAAGGTTTGCACCCAGTCTGGATCCAGAATCCATGCTCTGAACAATTATACTAAGCTGCTTTTTCTTTTTTTTTGAGGAAGATTAGCCCTGAGCTAACATCTGCTGCCAATCCTCCTCTTTTTGCTGAGGAAGACTGGCCCTGAGCCAACATCTGTGCCCATCTTCCTCTACTTTATATGTGGGACACCTGCCACAGCATGGCTTGACAAGCGATGCCATGTCCTCACCCGGGATCCAAACCGGCGAACCCTGGGCCGCCGAAGCAGAATGTGCCCACTTAACCCTGTGCCACTGGGCCAGCCCCTAAGTTGCTTTTTGACCCAGTGTATGTCAAAAGCTTTAAAATTTTGCATATCCTTGACCCAGAAATGCCTTTCTTAAGAATTTATCCTAAGGGAATAAGCAGTCCCACCCAGGAAGAATTTACATTCGAGAACGTTTATGCAGCATAATAATCATAAAAAGTTGGAGACCACCTACACGGGCCGCAAGGGGAGAGGAAGAGTATGGAAGGCATGGGGCGCCACACCTCTGTGGAGGACTGCTCCCACCACACTGCCCTCCAGGGCACAGCGGCGCTCAGACCCAGAGGAGAAGAGCAAGCAGTCACTGGGCATCAGGACCCACGCGGGCACTGGGTCCCCCAAATTAAGTGGAAGCCCTAACTCCCAATATAGCTCAGAATGTGACTGTATTTGGAGACAGGCCTTTAAGGAGGTAATCAAGTCAAAATGAGGCTGTAGGATGGGTCCTAATTCAATCTGGCTGGGGCCATAAGAAAGGGAGATGAGGACAGACAGGACACCACGAATTGGAGCCCAGAGAAAGCCCAAGGAGAGAGGCCTCAGAAGAAACCAGCCCTGCTGACACTTTGGACTTCCAGCCCCCAGCACAGCGAGACAATAAACGTCTGGGGTTGAGGTCCGTGGTGTTCTGCGACAGCAGCGCTAGCACCCCTGCACCCAGGGTTCCAGCCGCTTTTACCACACCCGCCATGACTCAGACCGGTCAGGAGGTGAACACAGCAAACCCGAAGGCGGCTTGGTTAATACTTTTAATTACATGATTACAATTATACAACTTCCACTATTCAATATTCTGTATAAAACCAGTTACAATGCACAATATTTTCAAATGCAACAATATGTATCAAACTAATAGATAATGCAAAGTTTACAGGCCATTATGAAGCTTTATCTTAAAAATCCCTTCAGGAAAATAAACAGTCATTCAACCACTTCTCTCAGCTTTATAAAATATGATTAGAAATATACAGTTTAATTAAAAAAAACAAGACTGATCAAATACTGATTAATCAGTTACATTTTAAAACTTTTAATAATCTGTACATGAGTGCAAGTTAGATAAAAGTCTGCAAATTATTAATATAAAACCGCAGTACTATAATAGATGAACATGTCTGCTGACAGTGAATTCTACCGGGCAATGAAGGAAGTAATTTCCTACACAGTAGAGGCGAACCGTCCAGGCTTTCACACACGTCTGCACGTCTCCCTTAGCGATGCGGAGATACCCAGACTGAGGAGAGACGGAAGAGCAGCGGCTAGCCTCACCAGGACAGCTTTTGTGGCAGAGAGCTATTAAAGGACGAGGATATGTTTTTCAAGTTGTTTTCGATGAGCACTGCTTTCTGAAATGCAATGATTACTTTTAAAAATGTATGAAGAGAAGCAGTTAAGCTACTTTCAAAACAAACATCAAGGAGCGCATTGTCATCTGCCATGAATGGTCACTCGAGCGAAGCAGAGGCTCCAGGAGCTCTTGGCACACGCCACCCAGGACGCCTGGGTCGCACGGCACTAAGGCCCCGGTCTCCGGTCCCAAGGCCAACACACTCGCCTCGTGAGAACACTGGGGGACTCCTCCAAAACTTACCCGGGCCCAAGAAAAGAGGTAGAAATCACCCCTGTGAGTGGGGGAGGAGGGCAGGGGAGGCGGCGAGGGCTGGCAGGCTGAGGGGACCAAGTTAGAGCAGAGTCTCTGGAGACAAGAGCAGCGGGCCGCGCGGAAGCAGCTACATATGGCGAGTAAGGCTACCTGCATAGTGAGGCACTGCTCAGGACCGAGCCCCTCACGGACAGTGAGGACAGCTTCCCAGGTTTCTTTAGCATTACAAAATCGAAGTCTGTCTCTGCTGCTAGGTACCCAGTTCTGCAAACACCCTTCCTTCAGACTCTCGCTGATTTGAGTCCCCAGAATGCTCTGAGGGCACCGAGAAATATTCATTTCTAACTTTAATTCCAATGGAAACTGTCGAGGTGTACTTTCAAAGCTATTTAAGGCTCTTAAGTTAAAGGAATCTCTCCATCTGACATGTCCTCTTTCATATTCCATAGCAACAAGGTCTTCTGTGACAAGGACTCAAAGTTAGATTGTGGGCGTGAGGGAGTTTCAGCTGGGGGAGGAAAGAGTCCACTCTGATTCACAGCACGAAGAACTTCCCATCGTCAGACCCAGAGACTTCCTGGACTCTAGACATGTCTCTAGGACGTTTAACACTGTGCTGTGCAACCCTCCCGAAGCGCACACGGCACGTCCTTCCCGTGCTCGAGGGGGCTTCTGTATCAGATCACCAGTTCCCTGTGACTGCCTCCAGGGAGCCTGTTACATACAAGGACTTTTACAAAGAGTCACAGTGATAGCAATTCTACTTGGAAACATGAGCAGCCAACACGAAAAGGCAATTTGTCAAACAAAAAGTACTGTGGTTAACACTGAAGCCCAAATGTTTCACTCTTGGCCAAGACACCGATGGCTTATTCGCTGTGAAGAAGACAGACATTTGCTTGTTCTGACGGAATAAAAAGCCAAACCAAGAACAGAAGTTTGATTTTTCACAACTACCTGTATTATTTATACAGGCAATGGCCTTTAAAAGTATAAAGGGAAGAAGAGTTGCCCTGAGAATCCCACCGTTTCACCTCCGGGCACAGTCTGAGTATTTAGTATCGTCTCCCAGCACGAGAGAGTAAACAGAATGTTTCTCCTCCCACCCAAAGCTTCTCAAAGAGCGTCTTCCCCCAGGCAAGTGGGTCTCTGTGTCTACTCACTTCCAGGGATAGACAACCACAGTTCTTCTGAGGTCTGGTCCGCGGTGTTTAAAAGACAGCGTGACGGGGGGGGGAAGAGCTGCTTGTTTGGGCCAAAACTGTGGCATCTTCCATCTCCCCTCGAAGCCACTCAACCTGACAACTTACTCCAAGAGAGTAAATACCAAAACGGAACTGTGGCCTTCCAATTACTTTTGCCACTAACAGCCTTCGATTTGTTTATTCCGATCACTTCTTATTCCTCATAGTTTTGTTAAAAAGGCAGCTTTTTAAAATGAAAGTGGCTCCTGGTCTGACTCCCTCCTCTCACGATGTGAAGGCATTTGCCTTTCCACACTGCGCCCCCTTGTTCTCCGACCCAGGACAGGCACACAGTGAGCAAGAGCTAGAGCCACTCACTTCCTACCCGGGAGTGACCAACGTGCTCGCAAAATATTCTTTTATTTTGGGCCCCATTTTTTTTTAAAGCAGCAAACTGTTTTTGTGATTGCTTTCTATCACAGACTCTGCTGTTTCTGTAGGGTTGAGGGGAGAAGGCACTCTGGAAAGATCTATTAGTTGTATTCTCTAACCAAAGGCAACAGTGAGTTTCTTATTTACAAACAACAGAAATCCAGATGCAAATAAGTGGCACTGAAATCAAAGGGTACAGAACAAAAACAATCCACGATGCTACAGAGAAAGACCCTAATAGAGTGGTAACTTTTTTTTTATTTTTAAAAAGCCACCATTATTTGGGATTGCTGTTTCCAAGGGGAAACCCCGACAGTGTGGGGTTTTTATGCATGGAAGGAAATACGGTTTTTATTTGTACGACTGGACAACCAACAGCAGGCAGCCTTGGCGTTCTTCAGTCCCTAAATGACATAAAAAGGAACGACTGACAACAATCTTTCCACTGTGCTGCCAGTTTCTCCTCCTGAGTCTTCTAAAGCTATCATTAATATCTTCCTGCAAGGTTTAGGTTAGAAAAGTACCACTTTCTATCACAACATGCAACAGTCTTTAAATGTGGTTTTCACAGATTCTTGTTAATAAAGCACTCTTTGGTGGAAGACAAGCAGCTTGGGTACCTAACAAAGTTAACATTACGACAGTATTACAAATACGAAAGTGAAGATGATTAAACCAAACAGTATCAAATTACAGAAAGTAGCATTTCAGTAATGCCTGTTTTATCTTTATAAATTTTGACACAGGGTAAACAGAAAATAAATATGTAAAAAAACCCCATCGGAGCCTCAATTCTTCTGCAGGCCAGCAGCTACAGTGATTGCCATCACAGGCACACGCGCCACAGACGGGCCGGCTCTCCCGCTGACAGAGAGCTGCCTGTCTACACCTGAGACCAAATGCACAACTGCTTTTTTGTTGTTAAACTTGAGACGTTTCTAGAAAGGAGAGTCGGGCAGGCTTCGAGTCCTTCACTTGTACCCAAACTCATGTAGTTATTTAAACTCCAGCGGACATTTTCTTCCTTGAAAAAACTTCTTAGGTGGAAAGCAGCTAAGGCTTTTACAATTTTGTTTTGTTTCCAGATAAATTGTGCTAAGTCTTGTGGTGGTTTTCTGTTCCTAGAGTCTTCCTTCAGTTCTGGTCACAGGTTTTTACTTAACGCAAGACTGTTTTAGTCCTTGAAATGGAGGGACTACAGGGGGGAAAAAAAAAGGATTTTACCATGAAGGTTTTCAAACTTCCTATTTGTAGTTATCAAGGACAAGGAAGGCAACACAATAACAATATTGACATGCTAAAAAGTAGACACTTTGTACAATTTTTTAATGACAAGTACTTTGGAAAAGACAGTACAATATCAACCAGAAAGTAAAGACAAACAGGAGAGAAAGGCAGAGCAGAAAAAAGTTCAGTTCTGCAAAAAATAAAAAAACAATAAAAAACAATAAAAAAAGAAGGGAGGGCAAAAGCAGCTGAGCAATGAGAGTACCATAATGCCATTAAGGGCATTTGCTGCAAAGCAGTCCTTTTCCTTCTTTCCCTCTGAGGAACCAGGCTGTGGGAAAAGTGGAAAGAACGAAAGACAAAGAGTGTTACTTGATTACTTCCAAAGCAGGAACTCGGTTACAGAAAAGCTCTGGCACCTCAAGCAGTTTCCAGTTCAGCAGAGCGAAGCAGCCCGAGCCTGGCTCCCACATCCTCGGAGCACCCTGCAGGCTGCGAGGGACACCCACGCCACCTCCTAGTCACCTCCTAACCCTCACCCAGGACGCAGCCAAGGATGCAGCCAGGAGACGCCTCGCCGGGATGCCCGAAGGTAAACACTTGACCTTGACTGATTCTCACCCTTCCTCCCTTCTTTCCTTCCTCAATTTATTACATTACACTTTCAACTAAATGGAAACTTTCAGAGAAAAACTAAAGCAAAAGAAGAGTCAGAAAAGCCACTTCCAATCTGGAGGTGACCCTCACTTGCACGGTGCTGACGCTCTATCAGGGCAGCTCATCTGAACTGATCAGACAGTCTTCAGAGACCCCAACAGAGTACTGAGTATAAAGATCCAGGTCAGTTGGTAGAGTCAAGTGGGAAAATATCTTGAATTTCAAAAGGAAATTAATATCTTAAAAGATCAGAGATAACCAGCATTCTAACAAAAGAATATTTAGACACAACATTCTGGGACTTCTACACTGATGTACATTTAGAGACAATGGCAATAACAAAAAAGCCCAGAGGTGATTGAACAGACACTGAGATCTGAGACTCCGAGGGACAAGAAGCAGCGACAGGCATGAGAGGATGGCAAAAGTCACAAATGAGAAGACTCAAGAAGCCAAAGTCCTAAATGTGGCTACTCCCGATGGAAGGGCTTGTGAAAAGACTCATGCTTTCAGAGGCCAGGAGCCTGGGCATTCATCTTTTCCCAAATATGAATAATTAGGTACAAAATATCCCAAAGCAATGAACATGAGGTTGGTTTGGCAGGTGGAGCAGAAAATGATGGTTCCTAATGATGCAACCCGGAATTTAAAAAAAGCACTTGTATGTGATATTTTTCTTAGAAAATGGATGAATTTATAACTAAGGAAAAAAAAAAAAAGACAGAAATGAAAGAATGCCCCAAAGAAAAAGCCTAAGCCTACAGAAACATACTTGACAGGTGAGTCGTGTAAAGACATGAACTGAACTGAATGGGATCAGATGAGGCGGCTGCAGGTTCTCAGTTGGAGGCACAATGATGAAACTTTCAAGACTCAGTCTGAGAGAGCTCTTCAGAGAGTTCATGCAAGAACCCTGAAATTCAGGACAATTCTATTTAGCCAATTCTTCACTGAATTTATTAATTCTCAAAAGAGGAACATTAAAAATGACTTTACAGCTCTAATAAGAAGTGGGAGGTGTAGAAACCAGTTAATTCATTTCTTCCGAGTTGAGAAAGGGGATGAGGAAGGCGCCACACAGACCCCCTCGGCACTGAGGGTCAGCGCGCCCCTTCCACCCGACACTGCAGTGCTCCCGTCCCGAGCCGCCGCGGCCACGCCAGGGCGGAGCTCATCACAATGGACTGAAGCTTAGATGGGGCTGATGTTCGGTGGGTACACGGGGAATAAGCACCTGCCATGAGAGAAACACGGTGGCAATCCTGCCCAACAACAAATACTTATGACAACACCCCTATTTTTTCAGTTTCCAAACTGCTCTTTTAACATGTTTCTGGAAAAGTTTTCCAAAGTTGTAGAGCCTCTCAGTAAACTGTCAAAAATCAAAAGAGCCACATCAGTGAAAAGTGAGTTTAGGTGAAGTCTTCGTCCTGGAAGCCTCTAAGAACAGAACAAGACATGGAAACGAAAGGTCCATTTCCTATGGACAACAGAGATGATGAGGATGACATGCGAACAGCAGCAACCTGCAAGAGAGGAGGCCTCCCAGACCGCAGTGACCGCAGGCTGGCAACCCTGGCGCCTTCCAAGGACTGATGAAAGTACACTGAAAGGGTGTGCTTGTTTTTACTGCTGTTCAAAGAAAAGATTTCTATTCAATATCTTAAAATTACTCAACAATCTTAGCTCACATTTTTTTGTCCCAATTCAGATTATGTCCAATTATGTTAATTCCCTCATTACCCTCCAACCCCAAACAAATCCTATTCAGTAGAAAAAAGCTTGGCTGCACGACTCCCATCAGGCCCGGGAGTGGGAGTGGGACCTGCGCATAACGTGCTTGCGTCTCGTCTGGGGGCTGCAGGCGGCTCTCAGTTAAGGGAAGGTGAACACAGGCCAGAGCCCCAGAGAGGCACAGGAGGCCCTGCAGGGAGGGGTGGCTGAGCACGCCGTGAAACCCAGTGAGCTCTCACTGTCTGACTTCTTTGCCCCTCCAAATCTCTGCAAGTCCACTTCTGAATTTAAAATAAGTCCTTTTGGTTTTCAGTGCTATCCCAGACGCCTGGAAACTGCTTTGGGCCATTTCAACATTCAGTCAAGTGTGTTCAGTCTGAAGCCTACGTTAGAGCCCTCAGAGCATCTGGTCCAGGGACCTCGGGCAGACGCTCACTGCAGGAACCACCTCTGCTGAGAAGCACACGTTTAGAGCACTAGGCAAGACCTAGATGGAGAAACTGCCGCACGGCCACCCTCAGAGGAATGTGGTGTGGCTGGCACACGAGGTCCCAGCTCCTGGACTCTACGCCTCTGAAACCTGAAGAGCACAACCCAGAAAAGCAGAATTAAATGTACAAAACACACTCGACTGTAATGGAAGCCTGAGCAATTATACCTAAAAAAAATTCATTCATTCAAAACATGTCTAACTATCACCAACAGCAGGTTTTGTATTTGAATTTTTAATAGTTTAATTCACCTACAAGTGTCAAAGTTAAGTGTCAAACTTAAAATACCCCCAATCCCCTCATTTACTGTTCAAAAGTTGGAAGAAAATGACAGAAAAGAAAAGAAAAATCCCCACTGTCCTACCAACCAGATGCCGTAAGATTACGGCATATTTTTCCTTCATCTTATTTCTATATATAGAAATGTATACATCTATAAATATTTATACGTCTATACATTTCTATACATACATAAAGTACATTTTACATTTACAAAATTAGAGTAATAATTCATAACTTTTGTGTGTAGCTCTTTTCCCTTGTTACTCCATGAGCATTTATCCAAGTTGTTAAATTTTCTTTAAAAACATGACTCTTGATTCATTTGGCAAAATTCAACAACCTTTAGCCCATTTCCCATTTATCACTGTTATAAATAACATTCTGATATTATAAATGTACCTAAATCTTTGACTTTTGTCAGTAGTTCTCTAATATTCTTCTCAAGTGGAATTAGAATGTAAAAAAGAGTATAAATATTTGCTACTTTCTAATGAAGAATTTTAAATGCTAAAATCGCAAGTCGCTGCCCAGTTCTCAAATATGTGTACTGGCCAGTACTGCAGCCCCAGGTAAGAAAAAGTGTGCAGTAAAACTGTACGAAAGAATCGGCCAAGAGGGGAAAACGGCAGCACTGAACAATTCCTCAAAAGGGCAAAACACACAGAGCTCTTTGGTCGTCGGCAAGTCCCTCAGGACACAGGCTGCCCTGAGACCGCCAGAGACTCACTCAGCACCAAGGAGGGCACCGCGGCCCAGAGCCGCAGAGACGAGGGCAGGAGGTCAAAAAGAAGCAAGGACAATTGTGCACGACATTTGGAAGTCTGGTTCAGACGACCGTCAGACCTGTTACAAGAGACACACTGTGCCACGAGCAGGACCTTGTGCTCAGGACGCCCAGGCTGCCAGCTCCAGGCAAGATACACCCTCATGGAACGGGTGCCAGCCCTCACTCCTGAGATGACAGTGAGGAGGGTTTGCTCTTCCCTCAAAAGGGATCTGTGTTTAGAACAGACTAGAAATGAAATGTCAGGGGCCAGCCCTGTGGCCGAGTGGTTAAGTTCGCCCACTCTGCTTCAGTGGCCCAGGGTTTCGCCGGTTCAGATCCTGGGCGCGGACCTAGCGCTGCTCATCAAGCCAAGATGAGGCAGCATCCCATATAGCACAACCAGAAGGACCTACGACTAGAATATACAACTATATACTGGGGGGCTTTGGGGGGGAAGAGAAGAAAAAAAAAAGATTGGCAACAGATGTTAGCTCAGGTGCCAATCTTTAAAAAAAAAAAAAAAAAGAAAAAAAAGAAATGAAACGTCTGCCTTCAGTTCATGATACACACCCAAAGACAATAGTGAGTGATGATGTGGTCACAGAACATGTCCATTTTCTTGTTAAATCTTGTACTAATGAAGGAAGTAAAAGATAGCAGCTCAAAGGGAAAGAACTAGCCCCCTCGGGTGTGGACTGTGGTTGAGAGGACAGTCACTCAGTGAAGAAGGACCTCAAATTCACTAGAGTTCTCATTGTTCTACTATCACCCTTATTTGCAGCTAATTTTCCAAAAATTAAGCTGTATCTCATACACAGATGGGAAGATTTCCTCCAAGTCCTGACAGAGAGCTTTGGAAATTCTTAATTTAAGAACTTGTAAGTACAATATTCTCAACTTTCCCATATTATGACCCAGACACCACATTTCCACTGTTGAGAATCACCTCTGAAAAACAAATCCAAACAAAAGCCTCCACGAAAACAGCCCAGATATTCTAGAGGACGAACAAGTCAAACATACGGGGCTAATGTCCCATCACAGGGACTCTGCTTTCTCCCGTCTTCAGTCCTAGCTCCAGAAGGGCAAACTGGGAAAGCAAAGCTTGGAACTTTTCAGGAAAGTAGGGTTCTCTTCTCACCTTTTAAAACTGCTTTTTCTTGCAGCAGACCTGGTGGTTCTTTTAGTAATGCCTGCACTGCCAGAAATGTTAGGTTCAGACGTTTTACAGCTCTGAACACGGGACTGAAGAATTACTCTGGAAATAGTTGGAGAAAAAGATGATTATATTCACTGAAACAATTTGCAAATACTTGACAGAGGAAGGCATTTTTGCACTTCAATGCAAATTATTTTATTGAGAATGGATAGGATTTTCCATAAACACATTTGCCCAAAAAAATCAGAACTACATTTTTACATCAAGGTCTTTTAAAATGAAGTGTCTCATTTCCCTATAATGTTACATAAACCAGAGTACTTGCCTTTTGGAAAATGAATGACCTGGAATTTTAAGTAATTCCCACACCAAAGAAATCAATCAGCAAAACACATTTTTGTGCCCCAAAGTAAAAACAGATTCTCTGAATTCTAGTCATGGAAACAAGAAATCATTTAAAAGTCCCAAATTCTAAAGAATATGAATATATCTACACAATATTCATTCTTCAGAGCTGAAAGTATGGGCAATAAATCCCAAATCAATACTAATTTTATACATTTCAAATTTTAAAACTGTGTTCAAGCAAAATTTTGAATTTTTCCTAGATTATAACTACTCACTAAATCACCAAGTACCATTAACATGAAGTATCACTAACATGAAAGCGAAGCTGTTTAAATTTGTGAAACTTGATTTAACTAAACTCTAAATATCTCAAGGAACTGCTGTGTCTGGGAGTGGACTGCCCAGGAGGCGAATTCCCGGCTCAGAAGAGCAGCCTGAGCTGCAGCCCACGGGAGACCCTGCGCACGAGCAGAGGGTGTCGTTAATCCCTCAGTGCACTGTCACAGGGAAAACAGCAAAAGATTCTGTATGCGGTTGTTCTCTTCAGGAGCTGACGACCAAAACACTGAACTGCACACACACATTTACATATACTCAAATTTTTATTTGTCTAGAAGAGAATACACTGACTTAAAAAAAGCTTCCTCCTCTCAAATCCAAACATAAAGGTGAGACAGCCGGCAACGACTTACGTGAACCCAGTTCCTAAGAGCAAAAAGAAACCACGAAAACTAACCAGCAGGCCCACATCCTATGCTGCATCGCCACCACCTCGGCTGACATCCAAAGCCAGGCCCTTAACATGTAGTCGAGACTAGTAAATTCCTATCATCTTAGAATTTCCCAAACCACAGCATATTCAACACTGAGTAAAACGCTAACTTCTCCTCACTAAAGAAACAATGGGCTGTATTGTACCCTGGGAGAGGGCTGGAGCCCAGCAGTTTTCCAGCAGCTTGGCGAAGAGAGGAGGAGGGCTGGGGAGGCCCCTACCCCAGATGTTTGGCTTTCTCCAAGCAGTATTTCTGAAAGCTTAGGAAACAGGCCTTCAGTCTCACCGGAGGGAAACCGATGGCGGGTAAATGAGCCAATGCTTAATTCAAGATTCTTTATAAAGTTTCAACAACCTAAATGTTGAATGTTCTAACAAAATAGAAAAAGTATATACAGACACAGTTGCATGATCAAAGAAGGCACCAACTGCCCTGGCATATGAATTCCAGCCTGAAAACAGGATTTATTTAAAAATTCTTTATGATTATATAAAGTGATATATAAAGGCCACTTGTGGCCCAAAAGCATAGACAACTAACAAACACATTGTAAAATCATTAATATGTGAAACAAAATAAGAGCCGACATATTGCTTGCTCAGGAAATTTAAGTCCTGATTTCTTAAATTAACTATTACTCAAATGTTTATTCAAAACAAGATATTACTGCTAAATCAAATTTTACGCTAATAGAAAACAACTTTTAAAAAGTATTTCTCTAAAATTAATGTAAATAATTCATGTGAAGTAATATAATGATAATATTAAAATAGCTAATAATTTATGTGGGATGTTATTTATTTACTTATTTTTTTTGAGGAAGACTGGCCCTGAGCTAAATCTATGCCAGTCCTCCTATACTTTGTATGTGGGTCACTGCCACAGCATGGCTTGACAAGTGGTGTAGGTCTGCACCAGGGATCTGAACCCGTGAATCCGGGCCACCAAAGTGGAGCATGCCAGACAACCACTATGCCATGGGGCTGACCCTATGTGGGATTTTAAAAAGAAGAGCATGATAGAAATTCGGAATGCACTGATCACAACAGTAAAGATTTGAGTCACCAGGTATTTGCATTAACAACAGAACAGTTATTACATCTGTAGGTTATGCATCAATAAAGTGCGGAAACCAACAACTACACTTAGAGTAACTGTGACATCCTACACATCACACCATAAGGTGGGGTACACGGGCAGACATGGGTGAAGAGTTCATGATCCCATAGGGCATGTGGGAACCCACTACCTCCCACCCTGCAAACCAGGCTCATCACCAGGCTTTGCACAGCAACATTCAGAGTATGCATCTTCTCCTTTCCATTTCTCCTTGACAGAATCCTCAGTCCTACTTTCTATCTTTTGCCTATACTTCAGTTTACTTTCTTCTCTGCAGTATCTTCTGAGCCCCAGTATTCTCAGATTGCTACCTGCAACTTGAAGCATTCAGCAAAGCAAAAAATGGAAAAGCCAGGTCTCTCACCCATCAAGCCACAAAATGCTCTAAACATAAATGCTAAATTCCAAGTAAAGAATCCATCAGCGTGACTGCACACTATTCACATTGGTTGTTGACCACAGACACAAAACGAGCTTTCAAAGTGATGGGCCTGAGGCCCCACGGCCACCAGAGGCACCTTCCCATCATCTAAGAGTCTGACAGGCAATCTCAAGTGTTGTTCCAGTCAGGTTCTCCAAGCATCCAGGTAACAACCTACTAGGCGAGGCCACAACACCAGCCAACAGAGGGGAATGTCAACAATGGTGCCCACGAGGAGTCACCTCAAACGATAACTACAAGGATTATACCTGTTTATGTCACTGTTACTGTCGAAAGCTTTTGTTTCCATAAACTCCAAATTAATCAGGCAGGTTAAATTGAATACTCTGCTTTGGGTCTAGAAACGCAGTGGCAAATGTCAGTAATAACAAAAAAGGTTCTATCTTACACAGAATATTAAAAAGAAAAGAGCCTGATAGAGACTATCTTTAAACTTACCCTGGGAAAAATAATACAATTAGGAAGTGCCTGAGTGTTATCAGCAACGACTCCACCCATGTAGAACTCCATCTATGCAACATATCTTCACCACTCGGAAAAGTTAGAGAAGAATAAATCTACACAGCGTGTGGTGCTCCTGAGGCAGAATATGTGGAAATCTAAGTTTACTAAGAGAAGTAAAGAAAAAAAACACCTAAAAGGATAATCTATATCTGAAATATATCTGCCTAGGTGATAAGCTTGTATTAGTAAGATATTCAAGAAAATGTCATAAATAGGAACATGTTAAGCAGCTTTTCCTTAATTTTGAAAAGAATGGAGTCTGCTAGATTTTTACATCTTTTCTAGCCATCTGAAGACACTCAGTGAGACCACAAAGTCCTGGAGTTGGCTGCAATGGAATTTTACTTTGGACGAGATCCTGGAAGGAACTTTTTGTATTCCTTTATAACTCCCAAGTCCAAGTTGGAACAAGAGAAGAAATTCTTGAAATATGAGCTAAAGAAAAAGTTTCAGAGAAAAGAATGCAGCCTAGACAGAAGAGGGTGGCGGAAACCGTGGTCTGAGAGGACACGCCCTCCATTCTGTGCTCACAGACTTAACTAAAGGACGGTCTGCAGCTGAGCTTCTTGCCACTTTCCTCTGCAGAAGTCTCTGTACCGCTAAGGCGTTCATTTAAGGATGAAAGATACCAAGAGAACACAAATTCTGCCTCTCTTACCTAATGAAGGCATTTTGGTGACTTTTGGGAAAGGAGGAGCGTGGGGGGAGTAAGGAGCCCAATCACTGTCACGTGGAAACACAAACATAAACGACGGGCTCCAGGCGTCTCTGCTTTCCTATTTTCACTTACTATCAAGTTCTGAACACTGTACTTAACTATATTCCCTAAAGGGAAGGGAACGAAATGAGGCAGAGGAGAAAATTCTGCATCCTCAAGACACAAGACTTATCAGGGAAGCCGCCGCCCGCTGCCAGTGGGGTGGACAGCGTGAGGAGCAGAGGAAGCACGAGGACGCGCACCACACCTCACCGCGACGAGAGCAAATCTCTACCAACAGCAGACAACCCTTGGGAAAATTCTTTTTGCTAGATTGGAAAGGATATACTGAGGATATTTACTCTAGAAAACACGCAAAACTTGTACCGACAACTGACTGAAAGAAAGCCACCCCGATTATCCCAAGCTAACTAAATATTTTCAACAAGGAAAAGAAATTATTTCACTGTCTTTATAAATTGCTATTTCAAAAAATCTGTTAAGATTAAGCATAACTGAAAAACAAAGTATGTTATTTTTAATATCCCCTGTATGAAAGGAACAGTGAATACCTCCCTCCCCAACACCATCGCATTAATTGAAAAGATTCAGAAAAAGAACCTTTGAGAAAAGGCAAACCAACAAAAGCTAGGAGAGCTGATAGTGAGGAAAAACATGCACCGTGAGAAACACACTAGACACCGGAGGTGAGCTCTAGTAGAGAAATGGAATGGGACACTTACACAGCAGCTATTTGTCAAAGGGTCCTGATGGCTACTGTGTTCTTAAACCATCGAGACCGAATAGCAGGATGGGGAGAATGTAGTCACAAACAATCCACCAGAGGACAACACTACACAGTGCGGAGGTCAGCACAGCTAGGGAGCATCTGGAAAGGGGTGAAGGGGAAAGAACAGATGTTCAGACTGGGAAGCCAAAATAAACAAAGTAATAAATAAATAAAGCCACGTGTGAATTTCAGATATCCTGTGATGCAAGGTGGGGAACAAGGATGGAGTTTTACGTTTTATGTAGGGAAAAATGCTGGCTTCAGTTTTAAACTGGTTTGATATTTGGTAACAAAAGATTAGACCCAATCTCTAGTTGGATAACCGCCCCATATTAATTTCATTGTATGATATAAAAATCAGAGTCAAAGTTATATGATCGAAATTCTTCAAAGAGCACATGATATGCACACACAGTAAACTAAACCAGGGGCTGGCCCCGTGGCCGAGTGGTTAAGTTCGCATGCTCTGCTTCGGCAGCCCAGGGTTTCGCCAGTTCAAATCCTGGGCACGGACACGGAACTGCTCATCAGGCCACGCTGAGGGGACGTCCCACATGCCACAACTAGAAGGACCCACAACTAAAAATACACAACTATGCACGGGGGGGTGCGGGGGCTTTGGGGAGAAAAAGGAAAAATAAAATCTTTAAAAAAAAAAAAAACTAAACCAAACCACTGAGAAAAAGGAGGCAAAACCAACCAACAAAAAAAAAAGCCTTGTCCTGAAAATTAACAACAATCTCATAGGAGGCCCAATTATAAATGAACACAGCACAGCAGAACTGCTCTCATTCAGTGGAATTGTACTCCGCATCAGGAGTTCAGGCAAATCGCGTATTCTGAAAACAAAGATTACTGAAACACACCCAGCCTCAGGCAACACAAATTATGGGAAATTTCCCGAATGTATTAATACTAAATATTTTCCCTTAGTTGTTCTCCTCACTCATTTTCCTCGTGCAACCAAACCTGGCTTTCAGTTTGGCGTCCCCTAATCCATGGTCCAGCTTCCAGCACTGAGGAAGGACATCCCCTAGTGGCTGGGAGGGTGGTAACTCCTTCCAACCACTACACTCCCAGAGGATCACCCAGACACACCCGTGACCAATTACAAAAGGCTCTATTGAGCATTTGCTCTGCACAAACTATTAGGCTGATTAAGCCAGAACCGACTGATTTTTTATCTTGTCCTTGTCATCATACTCATCAAGCACTATGTGCCAGGCACTCTATCTGGTGACAAGCGGTTTCACTAAAGGGTGGACCTGCAATCAAATCTAACCTTACCTCACAATCCACACCTGCACTATCTCCTTTGCTACTCCCACAAAACCCCTACTGATACACATTCAGATTACAGGAGCTTACTGTTTACAGAGAAGCGGATGAATGGCCTAGGAACAAAGAACCTTCCACCCATCCCAATTTTCATTTGCAGTTACTGATTTAACAGTTATCTTAAAGGAATAATGGTCTGAATATCCAAGTGTCTGCATTACAGATTTTTATTTGTTCCTCTAGTAAAGCTCAAGGGATAAGAATTATTTTCCAATGATGAAAAAAACACTCATCTCCACTGTACTGTTAAGGGGGTTTGGGGAGTTTTTGAGGATAGCATATCCACATTTCCACCTTATTCCCATGTAGGAGGCACTACCGCTCTTCATGTATCATCTCATTTAACCCTAACAGACCTAGTGGAAATATCAGTATGTAGAAAGAGAGGCAGCATGGATAAAGCTATAAAATCTACCAAATCTATGTCAGCACAGATAATAATATACTTGCCATCACATCTTGATGGTCACTTCAAGGTCACAGCGCTACATAATTTACTGTCTTCATGGTAGTCAGGATCAGACATGCTCTCTGAGAAAATGAGTATTTTACAGTTTCTAACAACTTTAATTTTCCCCAAATACTGACTGTTTGTAAAACAGAAACCAATAATTGCAATGATATTTAATGTATTATAACTTCCATTAAGAATCACCAGTACATACATATTTTCACTAACTTTCCTTCTTACAAGTATTTTCATTCAGCTAAGTGCCACAGTGAACCAGAATACCTTGCCTGCAGTGACAGATGAGCCAAAACTGCGAGGCAGGAATTCAATTTAGATTTCTCCACCCAAGCTGCTGCTGGTTCACTCTGTCTCCGGCTCTGGGACTCATATTTCTAAAATAACAATAAGGACTTGGAAGGAAAAGGAAATCTCCAACTGACTTCTCTTCTAGGGCCAAAAGAGCCACAAATAAGAACAAAGAAGAGCTGATTAACAGCAAAGAGGGTTTGAAACAGCAGAGGGGCGGATAGGGAGAATGTTGTGGAGGAGAGAACGTGCTGTGACTAATCTAAGATCCCCCAGGGGCTTCACACATAATTAGGAGCTTAGAAGGACTTCAGCATTTTGCTTTTTCCTTTAAAAGTGTGGCCTAAAGTGTATATGGGAGGGGAACAGTTTTGGTGCTATTCTACTGTTTTTAGGATTATAATTACAATTAAAGAGGATCTTCAACAAGTTTGTCTTTTTTTTTTTAGCTTTTACCATTTTACGTGGTTTTAACTTACACCAAGAGTGCTTCAGAGGGGCCGGCCCCGTGGCCGAGTGGTTAAGTTCGCACGCTCCACTTCAGCAGCCCAGGGTTTCACCGGTTCAAATCCTGGGCGTGGACGTGGCACTGCTCATCAAGCCATACTGAGGCAGCCTCCCACATGCCACAACTAGAAGGACCCACAACTAAAAATATACAACTATGTACCGGGGGGTTTTGGGAGAAAAAGGAAAAATAAAATCTTTAAAAAAGAAAAGTGCTTCAGAGCAAAGGACACTGTTCTCTCTTCCTTTTAGGGGTGGGGGTTGTCACTAGAGAACTAAATGATGGCACAGAGGCTGGCCTCTCCTCCCCAGTCTCTGCTAGTCACTGTTATTAAACCATCACTGATCACACTCAACTTCCAGTCCCAGGGAACACATAACAGCATCTAGTGTCACCTTTTGGTTTCCAACAATATTTAGAATCTTAGTCTTTATTCATTCTTTTCTTTTCTACTACCACAAACCTATCAATCATGAAAGAGACTTTCATAGCTTTAATTTTTCTAGAAAAGACCATGAAGTGATTTGAACTCTCTAGAAAACATATTCACAAGGTAGCAGACTGAGAGAAACTAAAGGAAATTTCCTATAAGCGCTATTCAACAAGAACTTTTGACTAAGCAGAAGTCTGCTCCCCTGACCCCAAACTGGACTTTTGAACAAAAGGCAACAAGCTACTGAGAAATAAACTGATGTGCTGCAGATTCTTAAAAACAAAACAAAAGACCTGGGCACAACTAAAAGCAACCCACAGAATCACCCATTTTCTAGGGCTTGCGATTCATGGTGTGTTCCCTGTACCAGCAGATCTGCAACACCTGGAAGCTTGCTCGAAATGCAGAGCACAGACGTAGTCCAGAGCCCCCGAGTGTGGCCTACATCTCAACAAACTCCTCAGGACTCAGCGGCACACAGAAGCTTGGGAGGCACCGCTCCAAGGTACCCCCTAGGTTCTCCATGGTGCCTAAAACTGGCTTCAGAATGATTACCCAGAGGAACTATAATATTCCTATATAAAAAGAACCATTAAGGGCTTAGATGAAAACTTCTGCTGAAATTAAAAACAAAATGGCATTTGGAGTTAAAAACTTATATAAAACACAGCATTCTGAAAGCATTCTAGTTGACTGAAGTACCACTAAGCTGCAAAGAGAAAGGTTATTAATGCCTATAACCCATCCTGACACTTTCATTCACCCGGTGCTTTATATTGGAAAACTCCATTCTTTTCATTTGGTCTTTTAAGAACCTCTTAAGATGGTGGTCCATGACAACACAGGCCTCATGTGTAATTCTACTTTAGAATTTAAGATTATGAGGAGATACCAGTGAAGAGCCACTTTTAATTGAAAAGAAAGCCTGTCCTTCTCTGCCATGAACATTTATTATGTCCTCAGTTTCTTACCTTATTACCCAAGGCCCACTGAGCAGAATGACCTATCTCCATCAACTGCCCCCTCCAGAAAAGCTGCAAATTTGGTGTCCCACACAAAAAAGGAGGTTACTAGAAGGAAGGAATCCAATGGCATAGGAGGGAGCATTTACTAAAGAATACCCTAGGAAAAAAGTACAATGGCTAAGTTTTTGATTCTACATATTTTCTAATAATCCCGGATGTTCCATGAGATTGTATCCAAACTAACACTTAACACAAGCAAGTAGAAGGGGACATACACATACACAATAATGATTAAACTTCCCATCCCCCGGCTAAACCTTCTGTAACTTGAAAATAATTCCTCAAACAAATTAACACAAAACTATGGTTTAATCTAGTTCATTGTTTCCCTAAAATAATATAATGACATTAAGCCACCATAACACCAGTGATTAAATTCTATCATATCAAACTACCTGCAATATGGTAGAGAATTTAAAGAAATTCACAATTAATAACTATAGACCAATCAGTTATTCTGCAGTTTACATCTGCTGTCACTGTCTTGAGGACGTCACATGGTGATTATCCATGGAGAAAAAACCTTCCTAACGTTGCTTTCCTATCTATATAGGCCAGCAAGGTTACAAGAGAAGATGGACATGAATGAAGGATAGCCAACAGCTTTGTGGGCAACACCCCCAGATTCTAAATAATGTCGATAATCATTTCAAAGTGGCATAATAGGCATGCAACTGTGGAGAAAAACACACAGAACAAAAGCTCATGAACGACCCCACGTACATATTAAATAACATCAACCACACAAAGGAAACCAGACTCACGTGAGGGGAATAGCGTTTGTTTTTGATTGTCTTCTGCTTTTCAGGGCCCGAAGTCTATCACCTTGAGTCACTCCGCTGATTTCGTCATCATCACTGTACTGTATAAGTAAAAAAATACTGAGCTACTGATTTAAGTTGCACTTATTAATGCAGTAAAGCACAGCACCTACATTTATCCACACACACATGTACACACACACACGATACACTTAACTTTCTGCTGAACTCTAAAATACTTTGTTGCTTTCCAAATAAAGCTACAGGTCACATTTCAAGATAACCAAAAGGTGACTTTCACAGACACAGAACCCAATAGCACTCGTTATGAAACATATCGACAGTGAAGAGGCATAATGGGTTTTCAATATCAAAAACATCCTTTGGTAAATTTCACAATCTACTTACCACTACTTAATATAGTATCACTCTCCCCTAAAGAACTCTTGGTTCTTTAAAGTCCTCCATCTGAGAACGACTGGTTCCCTAAGTGAGCTGTCACAAAATGGAGAAAAAGCGGGGGACGGGGAGAGTAACTAGGCCCATCTAACGAGCTTACTTCACAAATGTCTTTTTTCCACCAGTGCCTAGTAAGTAAAAAAAACTTTAGTTTTATGGACACATTACCTTGTTTTAACCATTTTGAATAAAAAGTTCCTAGAGAGGGCTATAAGTATAAAAAAAAAAAAGTGTGACGATAATCCCTCAAAATGCGCTTTATTATTTTTATCTACAATTTTCTCCATGCCCTGAAAGGTTCTCAACAGCATTTAAAGCAATGACAACAGCGTGATGGGGACGCTTCGATTACCAGTTCGGGTTCCTGCTTGTCTTGATTCTCGACCCCACTAATTGAAATGTCATCAACAGCCAAGAGGAGTTTTGAGACAGCTGCTCTGTGTTTTCCATTCTCCTGACCCCTTAATTTTTGACGAAAATAGTCACCTTCCAACCAGAGGTTTGTCTGTTTCCTAGAGCATTTAAATAACATCATCAAAATACAGCTTTTCAGAAAAATACATACGAACAACTTTCTCCTATTAGACTATCCACTGTCACCAGAGACTAAGAAAAATTCTACTCCCATCATTTTCCAGACCCACGTGTTCCCTGAGGAATTACAAAAGCTCTCTGTTAACTTACATCACCAGAAATTGTTGCTGAGGCCCAATCACGGAGCCAGGTCTACAGATTCTGACCCAGGCAATGGTCTCAGCGGCTGTCATCCTGTAATGCTTCATGATGTAGCAGGCTATCAGCGTGCCCGTCCGGCCAAGGCCCGCTAGGAAAAGAAACAAAGCAATCAGATCCGTCTCACGGACTCAAGAATTTTGTTGCTGAGGGAAAATGTTTTTAAAAGGCTTCCCATGATTCTGCTCCCCTCACCAGTGGTTCTCAAGTTTGCATGCACACTCCAAACACCTGGAGAGTTTTGGAAAATACTGGCTCTGACCTCCAGAATTCTGATTCACTGGGTACGTGATACAGCCTGGAACTAGAGATTTCTAAAATTCCCCAGCTGATTCTGTGTATCGCTAAGACTGAAAATCACTTTCTAAGCCATGATTCTCAGGAAGTGCAGTTTTCTACTCTGGGTTTTCTGTTCATGGTACCAAAAACACAGGCTTAAAACCTTGCACTTTCTCCCTCATCTAACAGTTTTTTCTACTCTACTTTCATACCGATTTTCACATGGATCTATTTATTTATTTAATTTCCGTCTTCTCTCCAAAGTCCCTCCACTACATAGTTATGTATTTTAGTTGTGGGTCCTTCTAGTTGTGGCATGTGGGACACCGCCTCAGCGTGGCCTGATGAGTGGTGGTGCCATGTCCGTGCCCAGGATCCGAACCAGTGAAACCCTGGGCGGCCAAAGCGGAATGCACAAACTTAACCACTCGGCCTCAGGGCCGGCCCCCACATGGATTTATTTTTTTACTCTATTCCTGCTGTCCTCCTTTACTCTCATCTAGACCACTGGCATTACTTTTTGTGATGGTTAATTTTATGTATCAACATGGCAAGTCTAGTTGGACAAGACTGGTGAACTCTGAGTACGCAGACTGCTCTCCATAACGTGGATGCGCCTCATCCAATCAGCTGAAGGTCTGAACAGAAGCAAAAGACTGGCCTCCCCAAGCTGGAAGGAATTCTCCAACAGATTGCCTTTCGACTTTGCACCATCGGCTCTCCGGGGTCTCCAGCCTTCCAGCCCACTGCAGACCTCGTACTTGCCAGTCTCCACACACATGTAAGCCAATTCCTTATAATAAATCACCTTCCATACATATGCACATCCTGGTTCTGGCTGTTTCTCTAGAAAACCCTCACTGATCCAGATTTTAGTACCATGAAATAGCACGCTACTGTAACAATATGGGAAAACGTGAAAGTGGCTTTGAAATTGGAATTGTAAAGGCTTCAAAAATTTTAAGGCACATGTTAGAAAAAAACTTAGATTGCCTCAAAGAAACTGTTAGTAGGAATATGGGCGTTAACACTGATTCTGGTGCAAATCAGATGGAAATGAGGACTGTGTTATTGGAAACTGGAAGAAAGTCCTGGTTGTGAGAAAGTGACAAAAACCCTGGCTGAAAAGCATTCTAGTGCCTTTTGAAAGGTAGGCCTGGTGACTGACAACCCTGGATATTTAGCAAAGGAGATTTGTAAGCAAAGTGTTGAAGACGCAGCCTGGTTTCTCCTTACTGATTATAGTCAAGTGTGCGAGGAGAGAGATGAATTGAACAAAGGATTGTTAAGCATAATGGAACCAGAAACTAAACATTTAGAAAAATCTAGGCCTAGCCATATTGCAAAAAGTGAGAAAGTTGTGTTCTGGAGCAAGGATGTGGTCAGTCAACTCCACAAAGAGAATACCCATGGATTTAATCAGCCCTCTCAGCAGAAGCCAGAGAGGGTGATGGCATTCTATCAGCAGACAGACTGCCAATTTGGACTAAAGGGATGGACACACGATGAAATAAAGGCAGGCTTTCAGATTTCTGGGACTCTATAGGACTGAACATTAGAGTCATCTGGCTGCAAACAAGCCTCATCCTCCAAGAAAAGGAAAGCATGACGCCGAGGGTGATGCAGAAGTCAACAGGGCTGCCACGGCCACCACAGGTCTGCGGATCAAGGCTATCTACTCCTGGGTTTCATGGGGTGGGCCACCTCCCTGGTTTCAGTAGACCTCAAGGGTAGGGCCACTGTCTAGGGCCAAGGGGGTGAGGCTGCCACCCCAGTGGGCATATAGTACAGAGAATCGAGCCACAGAGGATATTGTCGAGCCGTACGGTCTAACAGCATTTGCCTTGCTAGGTTTGGACATGCTTGAGGCCTGTCACCCCTTCCTTCTTTCTCATTTCTCCAGTTTGGAATGGGAATGTCTATTCTATGCCTGTCTCATTATTGTGTTTCAGAAGCAAATACCTCGTCTACTTTCACAGGTTCACAGCTGGGGAGGAATTCTGCCTCAGGATTAATTGTAGCCAGAGTGTCACCTGTACCTGATTTAGAGGCTATTGAGAGGAGACTTTGGACTTGGGATTGATGCTGGATGGGTTAAGAGATTCGGGGCTGTTGGGATGAGGTCAACGGATTTTACATGCGAGGAACTGTGTCCCCCAAAATCCGTATGTTGAAGTCCTAACTCCCAATGTAAGTGTCTCTGGGAAAAGGTCCTTCATGGACGCAATTAACACTAAATAAGGTCATGGGGTGAGGGAGCACTTAGTCCAAGAGGACTAGTATTCTTCCTCATAAGAAGAGGAAGAGACACCAAGAGAGAGGGAATACAGAGGACAAAAACAAGGTGGCTGTCTGCAGGCCAGGAAGACAGGCCTCGCCACACACCAACCCTACCAGCACCTTGATCTTGGACCTCCAGCCTCCAGAACTGTGAGAAATACATTCCTGTTGTTGAAGTCACACAGTCTGTGGTATTCCGTCATGGTACCCTGAACAAACTAATACACCTCCTAATGAATCTCACTTTTCACTTGATAATCCAATCTTCACAGGCAACAGTTTTCTTCCCAAATCAAAGACCTAATCATATCAAATTCTCTTCAGGTTTTTAACCTTTAATCAGTCAACCTCAGGATTTCTCAGCCTCAGCACACTAACCTTTGGGGCTGGACAGTTCTTTGTGGTGGGGGCGTCCTGTGCACTGTAGGATGTTTAGGAGCATCTCTGGCCTCCACCCACTATGTCAGAAGTAACCCTCCCCCTAAGTTGTGACAACCGAAACATGTCTTCAGACATCAGCAAATGTCCCCTGGATACAAAAACCACTCTGAATGAGCACGTTAGCTGAGAATAACCTTAATTGCTTGTCATAATAAAAAAAAAAGATGAAATAATCAATGTTGAATTGTGTTTGTTTTAATTATGGTAAAATATACATAACATAAAATTTACCATTTTTGTACATACAACATTTTCCTGATTTCATTTACTTCTCTATGTTTCCTTTTAGCATCACTGAGCATTTTTAAGGCAACTGTTTTAAATTCTTTGTCAGGTAATTCAAAGACCCATGTTTCTTTTTTAAAAGATTTTATTTTTCCTTTTTCTCCCCAAAGCCCCCCAGTACATAGTTGTATATTTTAGTTGTGGGTCCTTCTAGTTGTGGCATGTGGGATGCCGCCTCAGTGTGGCCTAATGAGTGGTGCCATGTGTGCTCCCAGGATCCAAACCGGAGAAACCCTGGGACACTGAAGCAGAGCATGCGAACGCAACCACTCAGCCACGGGGCTGGCCCCATGACCCATGTCCCTTTACGGTTGCTTTCTGGAGGTCGTTTGAACCACTGTGAAGTGTGCAGTTCAGTGGTGTGGACAAACTCACACTGCTGTGCCCCCACCAGTAGCAGGCTGTGTGTGTGCGCTCCGTGGCTGGCGGGCACGGCGCTCTCTACGCTGCCAGATCCCACGAGTTTACTGTGTTGTTCAAGTCCTCTATTTCCTTATCTTCTGTCTGGTTGTTCTGTCCCTTACTAAAAGTGGGATATTAAAATTCCAACTATTATTGTACAACTGTTTATTTTTCCCTTCAATTCTGCCAATTTTCCTTCACATATTTAGGTCTGTTATTAAGAATGTAAAATGTTTATAATTGTTGTATCTTTTTGCTGTATTTAACCTTTTACTAATATATAATGTCCTTTTTTGTTTCCTGTAATCTTTTTTGATTAAAAGTCTACGTTGTCTGATATTAGTCTAATCACCTTTGTTCACTTTTGGTTACTATTTACATGAAACATCTTTTCCCATCCTTTCACTTTCAACCTATTTGTGTCTTTGGATGTGAACCGAGCCTCTTTTACATGGCATATAGTTGGATTATTATTTTCTTAAGCCATTCTTTCCATCTCTGTCTTTTGATTCGAGAGTTTACAACAAAGGTTACAATAATATTAGCCTTCATAATTGTCCATGTATTTGCTTTCTCAGAGATCTTTATTTCTTCACAGGGCTTCGAGTGACTGTCTAGTGTCCTTTCATTGAACCTTGAGCATTTCTTGCAGGGTAGGCCTAGTGGTAGCAAACTCCCTCAGCTTATAATTATCTGGGAACGTCTTAATTTCTCCCTCATTTTCGAAGGACAGCTTTGCCAGATATAGGATTTGTGGTTGACAGTTTTTTCCCTTCAATACCTTGACTATATCCACCCACTGCCTTCTGGCCTCCAAGGTTTCTGAGGAGAAATCTGCTCATGATCTTACCGGGACTCCTTGTATGTGATAAGTCGATTCTCTCTGGTTGCTTTCAAGATCCCCTTGTCTCTGACTCTGGAGTGATTATAAAGTATCTTGGTGTAGGTCTCTGAGTTTAATGCTGCTTAGAGTTAGCTGAGCTTCTCTGATAGTTACATGCATGTCTTTCATCAAATTTGGGAAGTTTTCAGCCACTATTTCTTCAAATTATCTCTCTGCGCCTTTCTCTCCCTTCTCCTTTGGGATTCCCACAATCCACACACTGGTCCACTTTACAGTGTGCCAGAGATCCCTTAGACTCAGTCCACTTTTCAATTTTCTTCCTTTCTGCTGCTTAGACTTGATCATTTCAAGTGTCCTATCTGCAAGTCCACCGATGCTTTCTACTGCCTGCTCATGTCTGCTTTTGAATCTCATCAGTAAATTTTTCATTTGAGTTACTATACATTTCAGTTCCAGAATTTCTTTTTGGTTCCTTTTTATGTATTCTACTTCCTAACGATGCTTCCATTTTGTTTATACATTGTTCTCCTGACTTTGTCCACATTTTCTTTTAGCTCTTTGAGTATCTTTAAGACAGCTGTTCTAATGTCTTCGTCTAGTAAGCCCACCATTTGGTCTTTCTCAGGGACAGTTTCTGTGGATTCCTTTTTTCCTTTGAATGAGCTATACTTTCCTGTTTCTTAGTATGCCTTGTGAATTTTTGGTGAAAATTGGACATTTGAATCTTATAATGTGGTAACTTTGGAGATTACATTTTGGCTGTTCCCCAGGTTTGCTGTTTTTTTCTTTTTCAATGTTGAACTTCTCTTAAAATAAATATATTCCTTGTCTTCTTAATCAACTATCTAACAAGAGGAGAAAAGTTAAATAAATCCCTAGCACATTCATATGACGTACTATTACACATTCATTCACGCATTCAATAACTGTTTATTAAGTGCCAGGTACTGTTCTAGCTGCTGAAAACATAGCAACTTGTTAGAATATAAACTCCACAAAGACTCTTGGAGTCTGCTCTGCTCATTGACATACCCTAGAACCTACCAAACAGTAGGCACTGAATAGATATCTGATGAATAAATTAATGCATTTCAATGTGATAAGGCTTTACAGAGTTAACAAGAATATATATATATATTTCTTTTAAAGATTGGCACCTGAGCTAACATCTGTTGCCAATCTTCTTTTTCTTCTTCTTTTCCCCAAAGCCCCCCAGTAATAGTTGTATATTCTAGTTGTGGGTCCTTCTGGCTGTGCCACTTGGGACGCCACCTCAGCACCACTTGCTGAACAGGGCCATGTCCGCGCCCAGGACCTGAACCAGCAAATCCCTGGGCTGCCAAAGTGGAGCGCGAACTTAACCAGGCGGCCACAGGGTCAGTCTCCTATGAATACAATTTAATTTACTACACTTTTCATATGAAATTAGGGTTTTAAAAGCATTCTATAAAGAACACAGGTACCTATAAATGTACAGAGTTTTAATGTCAATCATACCTCAATAAAGTGGTTTTAAGAAAAAAGCAACTTACAAAAGAAAACAACAGTCATTCTTTTAAAAACAAAGGCATGGGGCCGGCCTGTGGCTGAGTGGTTAAGTTTGTGTGCTCCGCTTTGGCGGCCCAGGGTTTCACCAGTTCAGATCTTAGGCGTGGACATGGCACTGCTCATCAGGCCATGCTGAGGCGGCATCCCACATGGGACAACTAGAAGGAGTCACAACTAAAAATATACAACTATGTACCAGGGGGCTTTGGGGCGAAAAAGGAAAGATAAAATCTTTAAAAACAAAGGCAGCTTCAAGTGTCCTGGCATATCTAAATGAGTGTAGTATGATTCTACACATATATACATACACGTCCACCATTCTTTAACCAACCCAAGAAACATACCTTTACAATGTACTGCAACGGCACCCTCAGCATTTTCACAAATATCCAGAAATTCTTTGACAATGGCATCAGTAGGGGTGCTGCCATCCGCAAAGAAAAGATCATAGTGATCGAAGCCAGCACTCGTAAAGCGTTTGGCATCATACATCCTTTTATTCAGACGGACAATGGTAGTCACATTGTGATTCTTAAAATACGGAATATAAGCCTCAGGAGAATGTTGGTGGTAACCTACATAAAGAAATTCACCAGATGTTGTGAAATCAGAAAGAAAACAATGGATAACAATTTCACCTGTAATTCACCAGGAAACAGTATGAATATTAATTTGACTATAAGTTTAAAAAAACAAAAAAGTTAAAATCCAGGCAGAATGATGTACTAAAATGACCACGCATACTTAACTACTTAAGACAGTCAAGCTTAGTCTAACTCTTCAGCATCTTTCAAAAGAAAATACAGAAGGGATACCTTTCTTTCTTTTTTTTTTTTGTGAGGAAGACTGTTGCTAAGCTAACATCTGTGCCAATCTTCCTCCATTTTATGTGGGATGCCGCCATAGTGTGGCTTGCCAAGCAGTGCAAGGTCCATGCCCGGGATCCGAACCTGCGAACTCCGGGTTGCCGAAGTGGAGAGAATGAGCTTAACCACTACGCCACCGGGTTGGCTACCAGAATGGATACTTCTAATAATAAAACTATACTGGTCTCATATTTTTGCATACCACTTTCAAGTCTTGTTCTTGAATGAGGTCCACAGAAGGCAAGAAATCGGTCTGGTATTATCCAATTTAAATCTCCATTTTCTGCTTTCTGCAAAGGGAAAACCAGTACAATTCATTTTTAAACTTAATCTCCTCTCCACACCCCTTCTTAATACTGTGTGTCTGAAGGACTTCAAATCCATTTGCTTTAGCACGAAAACATAAATGACTATGAGACAGAAAACTAAAATCTAGCTGGCTATGACTATTCCCAGGGAACAGTCAGTTAACTTCTAGTCCTCATCACTTTCTATTAATGGCATTTCTTTGCCAGGGTGAAAATTTCTTTGCTAGTCTTTGGAAACTGGAGCTGACTGCTGCTATCCACAATCTACCTAAGTACTTCGGTTATTTTATCTGAGCAAATTTTCATGCAGTTGTTGCTAATTAATAAGAAAGCAAACTTTTCCATCCTGAGGGATCTGGAAACTTCTGTTTTTCTGAATAGCTAACTGGCTTCCAATATGAGCAATCTTGACTCCTTGAACAAACAAGAGAAAACTATGTATTTAGGTTCTTGGCTTCTCAATATTTACTTTTTATTTGTAGCGAGACACCTTTCCATTATTTCACACTTAATAAGAGGGTCAATGAAAAGTTTTCAGGAAACCCACCAGGAAATCCAAAATTGTAAGTATAGTGAGATCACACTATGTCTCTAGATCAAAACATGACTATAAACTGAGATTTACAATGCTTCACTTTCTGCTATTACACCCTTTGGATTGAGTTACCACCTCAATTATTGTAATATATAGTTCAAGACGAACAATAGAAACGGGTAGACAAAGACTTAAGCAGGAAGAAGGAGATAGTTGATAGTGGAGGAGGAGAGAACTAGTGATAAAAACAAGATCAATTAGCTTTGCAACTGGGGTGTGTATATGAGTACCCAAGAACAAGTAAGAAATAAACTCAGAGTTGCTTGAACATCTATCTACAGGCCAGGCGGGTAACCCATAACCAATTTACTTGACTCAATTATTGGTGAGCCCATGTTCCATGCTAAAAGGTCTAAGCAGAAATGAGGACAAGTGTTGCCAGATGTTCCAATTTTGAAGTGAAGCCAGAAATATGGAGGGTTTTTTTTGTTTGTTTTTTGTTTTTTTGATGAGGAAGATGGGGCCTGAGCTAACATCTGTTCTAATCTTCCTCTATTTTGTATGCAGGTCGCTGCCACAGTGTGGCTTTCATGAGTGGTGTGTAGGGTCATGCCCAGGATCCAAACCCACGAACCCTAGGCCGCTGAAGCAGAGCACATGAACTTAACCACTATGCCACTGGGCTGGCCCCAGAAATCTGGAGTTTTTAACGAGAAACCCGTGATTAGATTTCAATGAATCGTAGGCATTATAGATTATAAGATACACCCTGAATTAGAGAAGTTGAAAGAGGAAAAAATGGACATGATGGAATCAATGCAAGACACTAATCCCAAAATTTCTAAATACACTGCAAAGACTAAACCAAACCAGTCTGTGAGCTACCCGTGGTCTGCAGCTACCTAAACAGTTCCCTGTGCCTCGGTGCAGCTTCACGGAAAGCAAGAGGCGTTTGTGCGTGACCCTGCACCTCCCTGCAAAGCTGCAGTTTCCGCACTCGTGACAGGGAAGCTGCTCAGACCCTATGACCCCTTAGTCACACACAAGGGCAGCCCTGTTCTACAGCGAAGAAACTAGTTTCTAGTCATTTTGCTCACCTAAAAAGAGAAAGTAGATTTTATCTTTAAATGTTTAATTTTATAAGGACAAGCACAAAAAAATGGTGTTAATAATTAAATTACACTCAGTAGTTTAAGGTCGTAATTAAATATACATTGAACTTTAGAAATGTATTGCTATTACAGAGAAGGAAAGATAGGGTTGGCCCGAATGAATCACCGATATGCTTTCACATCTTTGGCACATCACAGTAATGACTGATTGTAACTATCAACCCATTTCATCAACAAAATGGTTCAGTTATACCTAAGAGTTTAAAGAACAGCTACTTTAAGAAAGTGACTGCGAAAGAGCAGTTATCTGAGGATTCCAGATGGCGCTGCACAGAGCACTGTCCGTGGAATCACTCCATTCTTAGTGAGAATGTCTGCTCAAGGTAACTCAGTTGGGATAAAAAGACTAGATTCCACCAGTATTCTTGGCCGAAAAAAACCTGTAGCACAGCATCTTAGTCATTTCTTATTCGGAAGGTGGAATGGTAAAATCAAATTACTTACTCTTTTAAAAGAAAAAACACACCAGATTAAAAACTGTAGAGGACACCTGTGGGTTTCCCTGCCTGGACTCTCTTCTCCCTTTTTTCTATCTGTAGAGTTTGATAGGGCTGACCCCACCACTGCAGCTCCTGGGATGGCCAGCGTATTCTAAACCCACCCACCCCTAACACAGTGTGGTTCAGGGCTAGGGACAGGACGTAAGCCAGGCCAGTGAGAGGAATTCGTCTTCTGCAGGGGCCTTGAAGTCAAAGCTGCTGGTGGCCATCTTCATCACTGCTCAGGAGGGCCGGCCTGAACAAAACTTGCTTCAGCCCAATTTCTGGTAAGTGTTTGAGCACCTGAATCTGGTCATGTGTGACGTCACACCTGCTCCTGGATTTTTTTATGTAAGTCAATAAATTTTCCCCTTGTTATTTAAGCCATTTGTGTTTACTTTTTGTAATTTGCAAACAGAAGTGTCCTGACTTCATACAAACAGAAGGTTATAATAAAAACAGATATCTTCTCGAGGTAACTAAATGTATAATGACTATTCGTCTCATCAGATCCTATGTTAAGGGTTTAATAAACATTATCTTATTTAATCACTAAATGAAAGTCATCAATACTAAAAAAATTTAAACTTCACATTAAAGAGAAATGCCTAGGAGCACACTCATACACTCTGGGAGGATGCATTGAATGCAGAAATCGCCACTAAGAACAGGGACTACAGAAATGGTGGTCAGAGGATAAAGATTTGACTTTTTTTACTCTATACAGATCTAAATTGTTCAACTTTTTAAAAAGCAAGAGTATTACTTCTGTAAGTAAAACATGAATAAAAGAGTTTTTAAAAGGAATATCCTTGAAAACTTACTTCATAATGTTCATATTCATCAAGGTTAAATGAGTTGAAATTAAGGAAGCCATAATGCATTGCCTAAAATCCAAAGGAAAGCTTTTAAGAACAAAGATGCAAATAAGGAAACAATTTCCAATCCAATTGCCTAAGAATAAATATCAGAAGGCACCCCAGAAAAGCATTATTATATTTGGATTATGTTCCATTGAATAGTTTTTAAAGGAGGTGGGCTATGTCTTTTAAACACTTCCTTTATTTGGAAAATTAGTTATAACAACGTATTTTAATGTAATTTGATTTTTCCTTTCCCTTCATCAATCATCCTATCCATGCAGAACTAAATAATCCAGCCTTCAAAGTCACCCTACTAACTTACTAGACCAACACTACTCAGGTTTCAAATATAAGGTATCACCCAGGGGTCCCTAAATCCATAATGCAGGGGGAAGAAGTCAAGGCTAGTTTATCCCAAATAAATCCCACACACTTCATAAATACCTTCACTTTCAAGTTCTTCTGAACAGTCTTCAATTAAGAGATTAATGTTCCCTATACCAAAGACAGCCCAGAGATCAACACTAAAATTCAAAATTGTGAGGGAAAAAAATTCTTTCAGCAAGAAAAAAATGCCTAAAATGTCTGTTCTATTCTGTAGCCTGACTCTGAGTGGCAGTGGGCAGGGCACGCTAAGAGAACTAGGCAGAGTGTCTCTTCTAAGACAAGGGCAAGCTGGAGGCCCTAAGAAGTGGCCGCTGCTCCCCAGTCACTGGGCCAGACAGAACCTAAGCAAGAATTCTTGACCAGCAAGGTATTCTTGGTTCAAAAGAGGAGGCTCTGTAAACCCAGTTTTCAAAATTTAAACTCTGAAATACGAATGAAAAATAAGAACACTACATACCAAACAAAAGTCCCTCACTTTATAAAATATGGTTAAGTTCTAATTCCAAGACCAAGTCCATAAGGAATTTTATTTCTTTGAATTCTAAATACTCAAGTTATGTCATGATATTTGGACTACAGCTGTTCCCAACAGAATGATATAATAAAATGTAGTTTATAGGCAATTTCTATTCTCCTTTGAATTTCATAAGGAGATCCTATTAGAAGTCACACTAAAATTAAAACAATTACATTTATAAATGTTTCATATATGCAATAATCTTCAAAGTCAGTCACAAATAAAAATGTTTAAATTGAAAATTAGAAGCTGTCAACTCTTCAATAAAATTAAATATAGCATGAAAAAAGCAATCTTTGGCCTGTAGTTTCAGCTAATTAGACTTTAGATACAATATCTGATTGAAAAAACTGAGCTAAGAACTATAGAAACTGCTATAGAATGTTATAGTACACCAGTCCCGAGGCCCTCAAAGTTTTTCTTCTCTTCTTTTAAAGGTGGTGGGAGTGGAAGGAGCCCCAGGACCAGGACCAGTATGCCGCCTCCAAGGGGTCCACCTGGCAGGGACTGTGACTGCACCTGCTGTCTGTCTGTCTCCTGACAGCCCCCTCTGCCTACCCCGCCTGTCCTGAGGCCTGATGAAGCCGCCCCAGTGTGTGGCGACCACCTCAGTCAGCTCCACACACCAGAGTCATTGGACTCCAACCCCCCCCAAAGTAAGTTCCATTTGTCACTGCCTGATACAGGAAAAAGGTACACTAATTAATCTCTGAATGTGCGTACTAATTAGTCCTCTCATTTCAACCCATAAAACTTCTCTCAAAGTAGAAAGCCACTATGTTTCATTATACAAGAAAATAAACTTGGGTTCCTTTTGCCTCTGAAAATTTAAGTCACATAAAACACGCGATGCTGTTGAAGGCTTCTTTGATCCATGGGCTACTCATTCACAGTTCTAGCTTCTTGTACTACCCTGACATTCAAGAAATACTCCTGCAGGAGGGAGTGTTACAAGCAGGGCCTGCTGCGTCACCTAATTCCAGGGGACCCCATTCAGTTAGCCCGAGATGTGAAGGGTGTGCCCTGGAGTCAAAGACTGCAAGCAGTCCTGGATATAAAACACAGGAGTTATTTTAAAATAGCTTTGACAAAGCAGGTAGTGACCTATTTAGTTTCATATAAAATCTAGTAACAAACTAATAGGCTATCCAAATTCTTCTGTTGAACTAGAAATTGAATGCTTGAAGATATAAAAACAAAGTGTTTGACAGTTACTGTGCTATGGAAATGTCTGTTGTAAACAGGATTAATGGGAATCAGACTAATAAAACACATAAATCAAAAAGAACTTGGAAACCAATAATCTATTTTTTTTCTTTGAAATCACAACACACTCAAAACCAGTTCTGGATTTAGAACCTAATTACATAACTGTCTCTTATTGTCCCCTGTTGTTCAAATGGCTTTCCCCCTACTCATACAAAGAAGTATTCAGATTCAGAATAAACTGTTTTCTGGTTTGGTGTCATGCTAATGCTAGGGGGCAAATGGGACACCTCTGACATCATACGCATCTTGGAAGATCTGTGGGGAAAAGGCCTCATCTTCCTTGGACTGTACTTTAGTTCCCCAAAACAACACTGGGTGCACCCCACGAGCCACTTACCTTCTTTACTGCATAAAAACAGTCAAGAAGTGTAATGTAGAAACTGCAACTCCCATAGGCAGCATCTCTGAAATTCCAAAAGTATGGAAATACAAAGCTCAGTTAATTTAATTTTCTGCAGGAGACTTACCTCAAGATGAAGCTGACTAGAATTTAAAATCGAACGTATTCAGGACCAGACTCAAAAATTCTTCCATTTTGGTTTTTAAATAAAGGATACGTCACCAATAGAAACTGCACTGCGGTTTCCACCTGCTCCAGTAGATAGCGTTTTACAGACATGGATCAATAACGATCCCTTCCTAAATTTCAAATGATCTCTCTAGATCATTTCTGCCATTGATTGCCAAGCTTCAAAAGTTTCTTTTTGAGTTCAACCAATCAATATGTACCCCTCCCCCACAAAGGGCAAGGCATTTGAATTTTTTCTTCAAACTGGAAAATACTATATCAAACTGTTAACACGGAAGTGATGCTGTATATACGTGTGTGTGTGTGTGTGTGTGTGTGTGTGTGTGTGTGTGGAAGCATGTGAATGCTATCTCCATCTAAAGAGGAAAAAAATATTGGGAAATCAAGGTAATATTTGAAATACTAGGTGCAAACTAAAAGGCATCTTGCTCCTTTCATTATGCTTGCATAATTTTTAACAATTTAGTGGGATAACTTCCTTCTGAGTCTTAAAGGACAACGGTACCAATAAAACCAGAGGAACTAGGGAGTCAATCGCCTTTAGCACAGACACTCTACTCTTCAGGAAGTGCTTCAGTCAGTTTACAGACAACTCTATCCAACACTCCATCAATATCTACCAGTAACCTCACCACAATCTCTTAACGTAGTTAAGATTTTGTCCAGAAAAATAAGGCACTCATCCATGCCCACCTGCTTCTCCTTTTTGGCTACTCTGAGCCATTACAAAGGGAAAAACTTTTGGAATTAGGTAAGATAAAAATTAACTTAATTGTGATCCTTCTAGGCTGCCAAACACCTGTGCCTATCTGCATGGTACTTATTTGGTCCCTCAATGGATCAGCTTGCTACTGGAGCCACTGTTAATTGCCTGCCTTGGCTGGTTTTCACACTGTAATACTAATTATCTGAAAGATTAAACTGCACACTTTAAATTTTTAATTCTTGCACAAACTTTACGATTTTAGAGTATTACAGCACCACTAAACTAACAACAAGGAAAAGGGCATCCTTTTCAGCTAGAAACGTTTTAGACGTTACTGTCTGAATTGGTTAGAATTACTGAGGTGTGCTTTATGCTGGCCTTCACGAGGACTGGCCATAAGGTCTCACAAGTCTTTTTGTTCTGTAAGCTTCTGAATTTAAAAGCTGCTCTTCTAAAGGTGGAAAAGGTCTCCATCCAACCTAGAAAATGACTTTACCAATAGCTCATTGGCAATACTCAGGAAGAAGAAAACCAATTGCCCCCTGGGCAAGCAGCACCGGCATCCCCGAACTTGTCAGACATGCTGATGCTCAGGCTCCGCCCCAGACCCACGGAGCCAGGAGTTCTAGGGCTGGTGCCAGGCAATCTTTGTTCTAACAGTCCTCCAAGTGATCGTGATATATGCTCAAGTTTAAGAGCTACTGACCTACAGAATCAACACAAACACTTGATTTTCACGCAACAAGGAACATTTTTAGATAGAGAAGCTAAGGTGGGAAAATGAAGTAGTTTAGCCTAAATCAAAATCAAAATTACCAGTGGGGGAAAAAAAAATCAAAATCACCAGTGGAAATAGGAGGAACTCTCAAATTGCATCCCAATGTTTTTAACCACGTCTCCTCAGCTGACTATTTTTATTATCTTCTTAACCTACTGATAATTCTTTGCCAATCAAGTTAAAGGCATGCTGATTCTGTCTGTGGGACAACTTGATGCATTTACTCAATGCATATTTTTTGAGAACCTACTGTGGGTGAAGCCCTGCTCTAGTAAACGATGATTCGACAAGATTTCATCTGGGCTCAGCTAAAGTTCTGCCTCATACACTGTACAATCTGAATAGACAAGAATTGTTCTTTATTCACTCATGTTCATTTCATTTACACCTCCGACTTTAAACACACCTAACACCTCCTTCTTCCCATCCAAGCAATCAGGCTTCTTTAAAAGGGGAGAATAGCACCTACAAATCTGGATCTAAGCATTTGCGTGTGTATGGTGGAGGGACCCTTGCCAATAAGATCATTTAACAAACTTGGAAAAGCAGATAGAATCAATGAAGGAGGGTTGTCTAGAAACTACAATGTCAAATAGTAGTTTAAAAAATAACAGCTTTCACAGTAGCTTGTATTTTTAATAGTTAAAAACTGCAAATAACCCCAGTGTCCCTCAAAAGGACAATGGGCAAACAAAACGTGGTATATTCATAGAATAGAATGCTACGTAAGCAATAAAAATAGGATGAACTACCAACACCTGGCAGCGCGCATGGATAAATCTCACAGACAGTATGTATTTAAAAAGCTGGGTCCCAGCTCTCCAAGACTGCATACTGGATGATTCCACGGATATGAAGTTCAGAGGTAGAAAAACTAACTGCTGGTGGTGGAAGTCGTAGCGGCAGTCACTGACTGAAAAGGGGTGGAAGGGACTCTTCAGGGGTGCTGGCAACGTTCTGTACCTTGAATAGTAGTTACATATACACACACTGAAGTTTACTGTGCTATACACATAATATTAGCAGGTCTTGTAACTGTATGTAAGCTATACATCAGTTTAAAAAAAGAAAAGATTTTGAATGTTCAACAAATGTTAGCTCAGGACTAGGCACCACTCCAAGGTTTATACGCAGGATGTTACTTAATCCTCACAACTCCATTAGGAAGATACTACTACTGTTCCCGTTTACAGACTAGGAAACTAAGGCTCACACTCAGAAAGAACCATAGAGCCATGAGTGGCAGAGCTGAGAGTCCAACTCCCAACTGCCTGAGGTCAACAGCCAAGATATTAACAGCTATGCAGTACTATTCTTCAAGAACACAGAGAGCAGAGACAAAAAAACCAACTAAGAAGCAAACGAGTACTACAGGAATACCAAAGCAGCACATGTTCTTCATAACAAGGATCCTAAGGCATTCGGAAAACACTGAACTACAGCTTACACTATTTTTTCACTTAGAGAGGCAGAGAAATATCTAATATAATTCATTAAGAAATCATATACATATGTATACATACATATTTAAACTCAGTGGCTGAAGAATTATATCTAAGTTGATTAAATATTGCTATGGAGCATAAAAAGAGGTTATTAAATGTACACAAATGCTATGCATGCACAATCCCTCGTTAACAATACTTTGTTAGCAATTATATTTATTCTATGCACTTGAAGTGGCATGGATAAAAGACAACAATGTAATTTCTTTCAAAATATTACCAGGCTTTATTAATTCTGATGGGCCTACTTTCTAATTAGTCAGTTCTATAGAAAATGTAAATGTGGTATACATTTCTATAGTAAAATGTGGTGAAGCACCAGGTGTTTTTTTGTTTGTTCGTTTTTTGCTGGGGAAAATTGGCCTTGAGCTCACATCTGTGCCAATCTTCCTCTATTTTGTACGTGAGTTGCCACCACAGCATGGCTAGCGATGAGTGGTATAGGTCTGCACCTGGGAGCTGAACCAGGGCCACCAAAGCGGCACGTGCCAAACTTAACTACTAGGCCATGGGGCCGGCACCAGATTTTTAAATCTGTCATAGGTCAATACTTTTGTAAAATACAATAATATTGTACCATTACATACTCAAAGTAATGCAATAATCTTATATTAGAAAAATGGAAGGAAAAACTACATAAAATACAAGCTCAAATATTCTATTATTTGATTCCACAGACATAAAAATACTCTATTAAATTACAATAAAAGTTTCTAAAATCTTCCTGTCGATTCCTGTACTTATCACAGACCAGCTTGAGTTCATCGGCCACACTTGGAGAAACAGTGCTTTAGATAAACCAAGTAGCCGGCAACCACAACTGAAGAGATTTCAAATTTCACAAACCTGAACTGTTTCTAGCTAAGTCCTGTTTTCTACAGAATTACTGACTTTTGCTCCTGGGACCAGAAGTAACTAACTTTATTTCTCAGTGCCAGACACCAATAATTTTAGCCCCTGTATTTAAATTTACACAAAATCTCTTTTCCATCAACAGTGTTCCATGCATCCTTACGTGGATTATGTGAAGTGTGTGAGCTTCATCCTATTTCAGGACCTTGTATTATAATCTTTAAGAATGGCACTATTATAAAGGAGTGCCAACATAAGAGTTCTGTGGAACAAAACTGTCACTGTATAGTAACGTGCCTGTGACTCAGGGAACACAATACGAGCATTTCTTCTAAAGGAAGTACGTGGTAGCTGTTATATTACAGGTTGAGAAAGAAAGTGGAAAAAAAAAGAAGTTAAAAAAAAAAAGAAAGAAAGAAAGTGGAGAACACCAGACTTTAGAAACTTCATCCTACCCACCTCAAATAACAGAATACTTAAGATGATCCATGAGCTAAGAAGAAAGGGGCTGATACTGAGGTCAAAGCAATTCTTCTAATTTGCTAAATCACTAACATACAGTCTCCAGTGCAAAATATAACTGAACTCTGCAGCCTGTCCTAACAAATCTGTATTTCATGGAATAAGTCCATGGACGGTCTGATGTGGTTCTTTAAGGAGATTCTGCCTAAGGTTAGGAAGACCCACCCCAAAGCTAGTCCACAATGAGGTCAGATGCATAACCTTCAGGCATTCAAGGGATATGCAATAATCCTAAAACTATTAACTAATTTGTGAGTGGAAGAATAACGCAATATTTGAAATTACCAATACAGTATGCAACGAGTAAAATTATTTCACACATTTATTACCCATTAAGCACTATACAGGTATTTAGATTATATAGCTAAATCAAGTATTTTCAGAAACAGGTAGGGAAACTTTTAGAACTTCATTTGACTTTAAAAAAAAAAAGTTTTTTCAAAATATCTTCAACACAATCACGTGGTAAGTTTGAGATGAGGACGAGGATGTTAGCCATTTAGGGAAGACCTTACGTATCTACCACCTTTATGACACAGCCGTTTAGTTTTTCAAGGAGTGGTGCTACATTAGCAACTTCATTCACTCTATCTCTGCTGGCGGTGCCTCTAGAAAAAAGGGGTTCACCTTTGCCCAGAAAATCACTGATTATTGGGAAAACTTATTTCTTAACTCCTCAGGACCCAAACTCTCAGTGGTAGTTTAGAGTTTCCCAACTCCAGGCTTCTCATCTGATTTCAGAGCACTGGTTCTCGTGCAGGAGCGACTGACCACTGTCACACTACTGCCACCACCGGGGACATCTGGCAATGTCTGGAGACATTTTTGGTTTTCACAATTAACTCTGTGGGCATGGAGGTGCTACTGGCATCTAGAGGGCAGAGGCCAGGGATGCTGCTAAACATCCAACGATACACAAGACAGACAAGTAACCTAGATCTATGATGTTACTTGAACCCACCCTAAAATGACTATTTACCAGGTCTTCTTTTTTCAGAAACAACTACACCAAGATATTTCTGGCAAGGGCCTGATTAAATGAATCTACCATATCATTCTTATATTTACCTGAAAGGAATATAGGATGTATCTCCAAACATTAATATTCTATATGCTTCTTCCGGTGTTCTCCCCAAATATATAACCTACATTTGAAAAGAGAAGAAAAAGGCAATTTACTTCTAAATGAAGATATAGTGCTGTCATTGTGAAGGTTTGTACAATTTCTAGCCAGTCAACTGAGCCTGGTTCTCCAGCCTTCCAAAGGATGCTCTGAGTCCCCAGCATCCCGTCAGTGAATTCCTTTTTGTTTCAATCTGTTGTCACTGGTCTGGTTTCTGTTGCTTGCAAAAGGAGTGCTGATCAACAACTTTTCACAACAACGGTTTTGTGGTAACAAGTATAGCATTTTAAAGAGATTTTCTACATAAGAATGTTAGACGGAGCACATGCTGCAACCTCATCTCCTTCAACCACTGAAATGACGGTAAAGAAGTCTGGGGGGACGGGGTTGGGGGACGGGTCGAGAGGGACAGAGCAGAACAAAGATTTTGATTAACTCTATCCATTTAGATTTAACTACTTATAATACTGTACAGGTTCCCCATAAAACTGCATTTACTTCCTATTCTCATTTGCTTCTTTTATCTTCAGAACTATGTATGCTTCAATTTTCAGCTGGAAGAATACTTCAAGTAGATTCTTCAGCATTTCAGGTCCATAGTTGGTATTCCTTGCATTTCCAAAAGTTTGTTTTCTGCCCTGACACTTAGTGACTATGTATACGATTTTTGGTCTGCAGTCCTTTCTCTCCACAGTTTATAGATGTTGTTCCACTGTCTTTTCATTTCTAGTGTTGCAGAAGCATTTTACTAGTCTCATTCTCTCCTCCTCCTCCTTCTCTCAAGTAACCTGTTCATTCTATCTGAAGGCACAAGTCTTTGTCCAACTCAGAATCCTTCTACAGGGCAGGGCATTTCAACTCACACATGCAGGGGTTGGGGAGAGGCCACAAGCATCAGATTTGGCAAATATCACCAAAATCAATTCTAAAGCCTACTTTGGGCTAATACACTTTAAATTATGACTAACAAAAAGAAATCACTAAAAAAGTTAGTCACAAACTTTTTGTCTCCATTACTTAATATTATATATATGAATTATTTCCTCAACCAAATTGTGAGCATTCTGAAGTGAAGACCCATGTCCTCTATTTCATTGTAACTCCTGGTTCATACATTATATGTGGACTCTGATTCAATGCTAATTCACTGACTTTAAATCTTATGCCAGCCCTGGTGGTCTAGTGGTTAAGATTCAGCACTCCCACCGCTGCAGCCCGGTTCATTTCCCAGTCAGGGAACCATACCACCCATCTGTTGGTTATCACACTGTGGTGGCCATGTGTTTCTGTGATGCTGAAAGCTACGCCACCCAGATTTCAAACACCAGCAGGGTCACCCATGGTGGACAGGCTTCAGCAGAGCTTCCAGACTAAGACGGAGTAGGAAGAAAGATCTAGCTACCCACTTCTGAAAAAACTGGCCATGAAAACCCTATGAATAGCAGCGAAGCATGGCCTGATGTAGTACAAGAAGGTGAGAGGATAGTGCAAAAAGACTAGGCAAGGTTCCACTCTGTTGTACACAGGGTCGCTAGAAGTCGGAATCAATTCAACAGCCCTAACAACAAAAATCTACTTATAATAGTAAGGAAAATTTTAAATAATTAATAAAAAGTTGATGTAAATATTAAAATATCATTGAATTAAGAGAAATTATAAAAATGAAAGATCCAGCAAGGATCTCTGAAACTTAGAAGGACATATCCTAAAACTAGTCAAAGCAGTTGACTCAGCTTCCAGAGGACATTTTTTCAATTTTCTGTTTTAAGACTTATAAATGGAAATTTATGAAAATTTTTCCCACTGTCTAGCCTGTTTCTCAATACGATTTCATCCCATTTACTCCAAAAAGAATACAAAACTATAATTAAATATACAGAATCTTTTTCTAACATTTATTTATCTATACCAGCATACAAACCCACAAAAGGTAAAACAAAGAATAATCAATTCCAAGATTAAAGGAAAGCTTTGTTACCTAGGATCAAACAAATTTTCAAGTACAATATTACTGACTCATAGAACACTGTAATTTGTCACGAATTAACCAAAAAAGGTCATCCATTGTCTCACTCAACACATTATATTTGTCTATACATTCTTACTCTACACTTATATGCATTAAGCACGAAAAATTAAAAATTTTTCAAATCCAGCCCCCTTTTTTCCCCCCAAATGTCTTCATTCTCTTCTAGTCTCCAACATGCTCTTTCCCTTCTAAGACTTACTAGATAGCATCATAAAGTCTTGTCTTTTCTCCATTCTATTTTAGGATTTCCTAGCAGACCCTGCCCCAATATCCCTAAAACGAAAACGACAAAACCAAATCAAAACTCCCCTTGAGGCCAAAGAGCGTGAAAAAGGGTGTGATTCATTTGTGTATATGTACATAATTTAAATTAATTAATTAAATGAACCCCAGAGACCTCTTTTAGATTCTCCCTAAACTTTCTCTCAAATTATATAAATTTTTCCTTAAGCACCAGACTAAAGATAATTCCTTCTACTCAAGATTGCAGTTCTTTGGTTTTTTAATTACTAAAATTGCAATGGTATTATTTCCTTCTGACTTTCGAAACAAAAATAGTCTCTAATACATGAAATAATTGTGGGTTAGCCTTGGAACACAAGTTCAATTCAAAGAACACAAGAATAGTGTAACATTTTTTCTTATGGAGGAACAAAACCTAAATTCCTAGTGATGAACTTTTAAAAAATGTAATTTTTAAATCCAGTTGGGAAATGCTTGTACATAAATAGATACTATTAGGTAATGAGACAAGTTGAAGGAAATTTATAGGTTTAGAATAAGTCTATTTACTTAATGCTACGGTCTGAACATTTGTATCCCACCCAAAACTCACATATGGAAATACTAACCCCCAAATGGTGATGGCAGTATCAGATGAAGCCTTCGGGAGGTGGTTAGCTGTAAGGGTGGAGCTCTCATGAATGGGATTAGTGTCTTGTAAAAGAGGGTCCAGAGAGATCTCTAGCCCCTTCCACCATGTGACAGCCCTCACCAGACCTCTCCATCACCCGGCTCTCAGACTTTCAGCCTCCAGAACTGTGAGAAATGAATTTCTGCTGTTTATAAGCCTCCTAGTCTCTGGTATTTTGTTACAGCAGCCCAAAAGGACCAAGACACACAACTATCAAAGAGATACTTGCTAACAATCTATAATTTTCAATTTTATACCCATTCATCTTCCCCAGTCAAAACACCTTCCCAAATGAAATTATTCTAATCTGTTACTTACAAAGAATCCTATAAATGGCTCCCATACTAACAGAAATTCTAAATTAGTAAACTCTAAATCAGTACAATTTTATGATCCATCACTGTGTTCCTGGCAGTTTGGAAGCTTAGGTGCTTCTCAAATTCTTTCCTGAGAAGCTATGTATATAGAATGGCCACTCTAATTCCACACTGCCATCTAAAAATAGGAAACAACAAATGATGAACAAGAGAGATATTAAACAGCTGTGGTAGCTGGCTTCCAAGACAGCCCCACTAATGCTCATCTCTTGATATTTCCACCCTCTTGTGGTCCCCTCCCATGACGAATAGGGCACCCTTGTGTAAACAACAGGATATGGCAGTCATGGCAGAGTGTGACTTCTGAGGCTAGCTCATTAAAGACTTGGCTTCCTCCTGGCTTTCTCTTGGACTCCTCACTCCAAGTGAATCAAGCTGTCATTTTGTGAGGGCCCTCAGGGACCCAGGTGGTACGGAACTGAGGCCTCTTGCCAACTACCAGCACTAACTTGCCAGGCATGTGAATGGGCCATCTCAGCCCCAGGAAAGTCTTCAGATGACTGCAGCCCACGTGGAGCCAAAAGCAGAGCCCCCCAGTTAGCCACTCCTGATACCTTCCACAGAAACCCTTTGAGGGAATATTAACTGTTGTTTGAAGTCACTAAGTGTTGGGGTAATTGTAAGGCAGCAAGAGATAATACAGTAGCACAATAAACAGTGAGTAAGGAAATGATCATTTCAGAAGTTTGTTAAAAGTGAATAAATAAAAAACCAGGTGATAAGTGCAGAGACGTAAAGGTAAGGAGGCCCCAGGGCTTAGGAAACATGAGTAAAGAGAGCCTGTCCTCATCTCTCCCCAGGGTAAGGAGTCTCTGTGAAGTAGCGAACAGCAAATCTCGCAGGAAGAAGGAAATACTGGGGCAGAAAACACTTGAGAAGTCAGTAGTGCTTTTCAATGTCACAGTACAAAGTTCTTTTTACTAACAACACTGCAGCCATTTCTAGGGCTTCCAGTACCCCATTTTTTAAATTACCATCTGCCTGCCCTAGCCCCTGTGAAATCTCTGACCTTGGATTACTGATCTATGTTTCAAAATCTAGGAGCAGCTAGCTGAGCAACGGATGAATTAGTGGACTGAAACAAAAAGATCAGAGATCATCTACAGTTTGAATCCCAACAATCCTGGTCTCAAATAATAAAACCCAATTATTTAGACACGTGCTTCTTATTTCTATTGTTATACAGAACATTTTGAAACTTAATCTATGTATTCAGCCTTTGGTACAGTTCAAAAATCCAAAACATTACACAAGTCATCATATCTAAGAGTTAAGAATAAGAAGGTATTTCAATCCCACAACAAATGTGGCAGCCTGATAAACAAGTAAACTATTTTCAAATATTCTTCATGCAGAAATGTCACAATGTTTCCAGTATTTAACTATTTTCACATCAGCTAGATGACACAGTCTTTCCTATGCCAAGAACTTGACTGATTTTTTTTTTTAAAAAGTCTCTCCCTTCAGACCAACATTGAATGTTCAAGAATCAATGCCAGTTGGAAGTATGCGTAAAAATCCAACTGCTGAATAAAAAAGGTGAGCAGAACAAAAACTATACATAATAAACAATTTTATATGATAAAGTAAGTAAATAAGATAAAATCATTTTCACAGCTCCTGTACAAATACTAATTAAAAAAAATCCTAAATCACTTTTTAAAAAGTCAGATGGCCATGTATTTCAGTGGTTTTAACTTGTC